CAGGGCCTTAAAACAGAGAACACAGAGAACAGGGCCCCAAAACACAGAACTCTCTGTGTGACTCCCACAATCCATCGTCGTGTCTCCCAGAGCAGCACCATGGACCTTGGATCTCCCATGGGATCATCCAGGATCATTTTAGCTCAAAGATTCCGGCCACAGTGCTGTTCTCAAACCTCCCCCACCCCACGAGAGGTGGTGAATCGAGGTTGGTTGTTCCTCCAGGTTCAAAATTAAACCCCAGCCTTCCGCGGGGAACGATGGACGCGAGGGGGTGGACACGTGGGTGTTTGCTTTGGAAAGCATCCCTAGACTTTTGCCTCCCTCCTGCTCGTGGGGATGAGCCAGGAATACCATTTAGGACCGTTTCCTGTCCTTCACCTTATCTCTGGCATGGTCTCAGGGGGTTTCTGAAACAGGATCTTGGAGCAAAGCTTCCCCCCTCCCAGCCCTCCCACGCGGATCCGTGGGATGGCCGCGCTTCCTCACGGCCCTGCTCTTCTTCCCGCAGATGTGGACGAGTGCCAAGCCATCCCTGGCCTCTGCCAAGGTGGGAATTGCATCAACACCGTGGGTTCCTACGAGTGCAAGTGCCCTGCAGGACACAAGCAGAGCGAGACCAGCCACAGGTGTGAAGGTAAGGAAGGCTCGGACCTGCAGGATGCTCAGATTCCCAACATCCTGAGAGCACAAGGGGGTGGAAATCTCGAGGGTCCCCCTCCTCACAGGGCACTTCCAGGGAGAGATGGGAGAGATCTTCCATGCCAGGCTTGATCCCTCCTCCCAGACAGGAGGAGGCACCAAAAAATGAAGGTTTTAATCAGTTTATTTGGCTCCTCTTGGTTCCAAGAGGAGCAGGGCTTGCCTGATCTTCTGTAAAACCAGAAAGGAGGGGGTTGGATTTTTCTGGCAGGTGTTTTCTGAAGGATATTTTCATGGCAGCACAGACTGACTGGACAGAAGGGATCTCTGGAAGGCTTTAGGTCTCTGCTTAGCTCAGCTTCCCAACATCCTGAGAGCACAAGGGGGTGGAAATCTCGAGGATCTCACCAGCGCTGAGTCCAGGGCAAGAATCACTTCCTTGGCCCTGTTGGCCACACTGTTCCTGAGCCAGACCAGGATCCATTGGCCTTCTTGGCCACCTGGGCACACTCTGGCTCCTGTTCAGCTTCCTGTCCATCCACACTCCCAGCTCCCTTCCTGCCTGGCTGCTCTCCAGCCCCTCTGTCCCAGCCCGTGGGGCTGCAGGGGGTTGTTGTGGCAAACAAAAAGGAAAACAGCATTAAACTTCTCCTGCCTTGGTTGTTAAAGCTCTTTCCCACGTGCCCCAGTGAAATCCTGCTGGCCCCTGGGTGCTGTCACAGGGATCAAACCTGTTCCTCGTGCTGGTGGGATCGAGTCCCACCCTGCTGGATCCCTCAGGAGCTCCCCTTCCCTCTCATTCCTCCCCAAGGCTCTGCTGTAACCAAGACAAGAGGTGAGGAATGCACTGAAATCCAGACCTTCAATATGGAATTTGTGTGGCAAAGCTACACAGGGAGAGCACTTAAAGCATTCCTGACAGCATTCCTTGACCCAGAGGGTTTCTTCCAAGGCATTTTTTTCCGGGAAAGGAGCATCACTGCTCCCAGGGGATTGTTCCCATACTCCCACTTTCCTGTAATCCAGGCATTTTCCTTGCTGGGATAATTCTAATAGTCTCTAGTGCCTGCAGAAGCTGTGGTTGCCCCATCTCTGGAAGTGTCCAAGGCCAGGTTGGAGCAACCTGGGCTAGTGGAAGGTGTCCCTGCCCGTGGCAGGGGGTGGAATGGGATGATCTTTATGGTTTCTCCCAACCCAAACCAGTCTGTGATTCCAGGATTCCATGACCTGGGTTCAGCCCCTCAGAGAATCTTTTCCCAAAGTGGAACACCAAGCTGCAGAGGTCAATCCTTGGACTGGGGGGGATGGACCTTCTTTTATCTCCAGAAGACATCTGTGCCTGTGGATCTTCCCTGGCAGGATGCCACGAGACTTTCCCTAAAATTCCAACAGCGGGGGGGTTTCTTGCAGTGCTCTGACATCCCAAGGACCTGAAACCAGGAGGGTCCAGAGCAGCCTTTTGATCCGTGTCTGGGGTGAAGGACCCGAATCCGAGGGTGTCCCAAGGAATTTCTCTGCCCTGCCCTGGAACTGTGGGCAACAAAAAGTTGTTCTTGTCCTTGCTCTGCCTCACCCACGCTGGCTGGGGAGCAGGCAGAGAGCATCTGCAACCAGTTTAGCTGGAATCTCTGAGATTAAAACCAATCCATTGTCTGGATCTGTCGTCCAGATGCTGAGGGGCCCCCAGCGCCTGCCAAAGCAGCACCATGTGGCCATAAACAGCTGCCTTTCACTCTCCTTCCTGCATGGCCATAAAAAGACACATCTCCAGCATCCACAGGGTTCTGTTCCATCACTTATCTTCCCTTGGTTGCTAAGGAGACCACTGAAAGAGGAGGCTTTGCTTGGGTGGGATTGACGGATCTTCTGTGGGAATGACATCAACAGGAGGGATGCTCTAAAGGGGTGGGGTTGGGGTTGCTTGGGAGGGCTTGTTTCCCATGTGGGAATCACCAGCATGTCCCATCAGGATGATGACAGAATTGTGGGATCACCTTTGTTGGGGCATCACTGCTCCCCTCTGGGAATGTGCCCTGTGATTCCCTAAAATGATGTGAATTAGGGAATACAGAGTCAGCATCATGTTTAATGCTCACACTTGACAAATCCAGGAAGATCTGAACCCCTCTCAGAGTTTACTGAGTGCTTTGGTACATCAGGAAGTCAAGAATCAAACCTGAGGATCCAATTTGAGGATCCCAATTCCCGACCTGATGCCAAAAATCTCCGTCCACGTCCCCTCCTCCCCGAGCCAAGGCTGTGAACCAAAATAACAACCACAGGCATAAAGGGACAGATTTATTCTTCACCCAGGTGTGCTCCAAGCCTAAAATCTCAGTGCTGCACCAGTTCCCTTGGTGAGTCCCTGGGTTAATTTTAGAGCTGGTGAAAGGAGGGATTTTTCCATGTGCACTGAGCCCTTCTTGCTTTGGGAAGAGGAGATGCTTCAGGTTTCCTCATCCAAGCCCAGCAGCCAGGAAATATTAAAACTAGATGGTAAATTCTTCCCTGAGTCCCAGGAGCTTGCATTTTGTGCTTGGAAAGGTTCCTCCTGGGGGGGGTGAAGTCAGCAGATGGGATTGTGCTGGAGCCAAAGGTCAGAGCCCGGTGTCACCACGGGCTGCTGATTAACGATGTCTCCCTCATTAACAGCAGCAGCAGTGCCACTAATCTCCTCGGGGGCTGTTTGTTGGTGGGAACAGGCAGGAGGAGAGATAATGTTGGTGCTTTCCCATCGTGATACTTATCTCTTAACACAAAAGGCACCTGGAGTTGGGGCTCTGCTTTCAGTCCCTGCATCCCTGAAGAACAAAGATGCTTTTCCTGTGCCAGATATTCCAGGCTGATAGTGGAGGCCCTGAGCTCCCAGGCAGTGCAAGGAAGGCTGCAGCTGGATTTTTGGGCCTGGATTTTGGTCAACTCCAGGAGGAAAATGAGGTTCCTTTTTTCCTCTCTGCTTGGATTTGGACCTGAATATCCTCCAAGTTCAGGGTTGCTCAGTTCCAGGCTTGTTTCTGCAGCTCATCCCTGACAAATGTGACACTGCTGTGATTCCTTTGTTCATTTTATTCCCAGGGAACCAGAGGGATCAGGAATTCCAGAGCTTGGGGCTGTGCAATGTCTAAGGAGAACTTGCTGGCACAAGAGTTTCTGAGGGATATGAGCAGCCTGTGAAACGTGGAAGTCATGGTGGGGGATTTAGGGTGGATTTAGGGTGGGGAGGGGTCAGGCTGCTCCCTAAAGCAAGGCTGGAGACAAACCACAGCACCCAAAATTGGGTTTATATCGCCCAAAAAGATCAGCAAGGAGGGCAGAAGTTGCCAGCTTAGGGCTGAATTAATAGCTCCTATGGCTGGCTTATGGGGGAAAAAAAGGGAAAAAGAGCAGGATTTGTCAAGGTTTGTAGGGGAATGAGAAGTGGGGGAGCCTGGAGGGAGGCTCATGGTTTTATCCAGCTGAGTAAAACCATTGAGGAGGACACAAGAAAACCCTCCTGGTGCAAAATGGAGAGAGGAAAACATCAAAGCTGAGCTCGGGCCCATCCTCCTGATGCAAAGCCCTCGCTCCATAAATCACAGGGAAGTGGGGGGTTGTTACAGGCAGTGACATTTTTAAATTATCCTGGAAAAGCGGCCGTAAAAATTGCACCGAAGGGAACGGCTCCGTGGTGTGCAGTTAAGGGGTGGAATCACTGGCTGAACAAAGCTTTTCCTGCCACAATTCCAGTGTTTCTCTGCCAAGAATTTAACTTTCTAATAGCCCTTCCTGTGCTGGATGACAAAATGCCAGGCCAGCTCTGCTATCAGTGAGGCAAGGCCAGGATGCTTCCAAAGGGAATGTCTCGTGTCCCGAATTGTTCCAGGGTGATGACATTCCAAAAAAAAACCATGGAGAAACACCAGGAAAGGGAGAGGAAGGCTCTGCACGCTGTGTGCAACAAGCTCTGTTCAGATCCCTCCAGCAGAAGTCCTTTCTGACCACTTTTGGCCTCTCCAGGAGGTTTTGCCCGGGCAGAACGAAGTTTTAATTACGAATCTCACCTATTTTCGTTCACCTCTTTCTATTTAGATGTTACTGATGTCCCTCTTTTGTCACCAGGGGCACAAAATTCCCTGTTTTCTGATGAACACAGGGCTCTATTTTTCACTCTGTCCAATCTCATCCCTGTTTCTGCACAGGGGAGAGGGATCTTTTCCACCAGCTCGGCTGGAACTCGAGACCCGCTTTATTAGCCCGTTTTCAACCTTCCTGCAAAATGCCCACAGAAGAGCTCATTGTTTGGCCCCATTAAAAGCTCATTTCCACGGATTTGGGGTGGTTTGGAGGGTTCCACTCCTCTCCTCTGTGGTTTCTTTGTGCTTTCTGGGAGGGGAGGTCTCAGAGTCCCGTGAGCTGCTGTCGAGGCCTGACCTCTTCGCTACGTGACACGGGGATGTTTTCTCCATCAAGGCCTGGGGTTTTGGGTTTTTTTTTAGCAGATGGAGAGGTTGGGGTTTCAACATGTCTGTGGGCACCGTGTTGGATGGGCTTTGCAGCCTCCAGCTCCTTCTGGAGCTCTGTAGCCTTTGGCTCCCAGCGTTTGCAGCCGTAAGGATCAGGCTCCGACTCCAAGCCAGAGGGGGAGAGCGGATCCAAAATCAACGTTTGCCTTGAATCCTGCCATTGTCTGCAGAGCAGAGCAGGCAGAATGTTGCTTTAATTTTTAACAGAGGGCTGGAAAAGTGGTGGAGGAGCCAGGCTGGAGCTGGAAGGATTCCCTGCCCAGCGCCGGGTGTTAATGGGAGGTGGATGTACCCGTGTCAGGCTCTCCCTGGCTCAGTGAATCCAAACCACTTTCACAAAGGGAAAACCAAGAAGGCAAAAAATGTGTGGTGGGGGAAGAACTGAAACAACAGCAAAGCCCCAGAGCTCAGGTTCTCAAAGCACAGGATGTGCAAGGCTTGAGGAACGGCCTCTTTTCCCGCTCCTTGGGTTGCTGGGATTTTCAGGGGGGATAAAAAAAGTTGCAGTTGGATTTAACCTCTTGAATTCACTGTTTTTCCTGAAGAATGGAGTGGATTTGCTGCCCACACACCCCTTTGGATGACTGGCTGTGTTGTAGGTATTGATCTGGCCCCCAGCCCTCTGATGCAACAACCTTCCCAGGGCTACACACGAGTATTAAACTGATTTTTTCACTAATAGTACAACCAGCTTCTGCTCCACAAAGCTCTTTTCCTTCCAGTGCTCTGTGAATTGTAACCCAAGGCAGGGCTGTAATTAAATGACAGGGCAGGCTGGAGTGATAAAATCTCTTTTTCACTGCAGGGGCCCAGGTGGGGGAAGTGTTTTCTGTCCTTTTGCTTTGCTGCCTCGGGAGGTTTCCAGTCCTTTCTGTCTGTCCCGGGGGCTCTGAGCATCAAAGAGCCAGAGGAGCACGGGAGGGGCTCAGGGGATATCTCAGGTGGTGGCTGAAAGCAGAATTTTAGTCCTAAAAAGCCAAGCAGAGAAGTGTCTTCCTATTTTTACTAGGATAGAATCATAGGATCACAGAAGAAAATCACAGAATGAAATCATGGAATATCCTGTGTGGGAAAGGATCCATGGGGATCATCCAGTCCAACTCCTGGCCCTGCCCAGGACACCCCAATAATCCCACCCTGTCCCTGAGGGGGGTTGTCCAAACACTCCTGGAGCTCTGGCAGCCTTGGGAAGTGACCATTCCATGGGCAGCCTCTGAGGGAAGGTGGCTGGGGTCCCCTAGACCCCAGGTGGCTCTCTGGGGGAAGAACCTTTTCCCTAATTCCAGGTTAGATTGTGGATAACCTGCCCTGTGCACTCGGGTTTGATTTTGTAGCTGCTGAAATCGAGGTTTCACTTGGTCCCTCCAGTCAAAGCTGCAACAACAAGTTGTGTTTGTGACAGGTTGGGTGAGCAAGGACAGGGGGAAGGTTGTTTTTCTGACCACACAAAGCTCCCACTGGTGGGAATCTTTAAATCCAAGCTGGAATTTTGAATGTCTCAGTTTTATTTTTTATCTTCTGTTGGCACTGAGGAGCACCGTGCCCTCAGCATCTTGGAATCATGGAATGGGTTGGCTTGGAAAGGACCTTAAAGATTGTTGCATTCCACCCCCTGCCATGGAGGGACACCTTCCATTATCCCAGGTTGCTCCAACCTGGCCTTGGACACTTCCAGGGATGGGGCAGCCACAGCTTCTCTGGGAAATCCATCCCAGCCCCTCCCCACCCTCCCAGGGAGGAATTCCTTCCCAATATCCCATCTAACCCTCCCTCTGGCACTTTGAACCCATTCCCCCCTTGTCCTGTCACAACAGCTCCTGCTAAAAAGCACGGGAACTTCAGGAAGAGCTGATTGTGCCTGGAAATGGGAATAATAACCAACATCAGCTCAGCTACAGGGAATCCCAGACTGGTTTGGGATGGTTTGGAATGGGAGGGACCTTAAAGCTCATCCATTTCCACCCCCTGCCATGGGCAGGGACACCTCCCACTAGCCCAGGTTGCTCCAACCTGGCCTTGGACACTTCCAGGGATGGGGCAGCCACAGCTTCTCTGCCCAACCTGTGCCAGGGCCTCCCCACCCTCCCAGCCAAGAATTCCTTCCCAATATCCCACCTAACCCTGCCCTCTGGCAGTTTGAACCCAGGGGTTGATCAGAGCAGGATTAAACATCCCCTGCCTTTCTCCCTCCCACCTTCAGGGCTGCACTGGCACCTGCAGCCACTGCAGGGCACTGTGGGATCGCGATTCCCTTCCCAGCTCCATCATTCCTCACTTTCCCACCGGACAAGGACCCGAGTCACCGCTTCTCGGGGTCACCCGCCCTATTTTCCCTGCGGAAATTTCCCGCCCCTTTCTCGTATCCATCATCACACCCGGGAGTTCTGGCTCCCAGGTGACCCTTTCCCAAAAAATCTGCCGGACCAGCTCTTCCAAAAAAATCCCCTCCACCCCCTCCCAC